CTTCCTTACAGACTAACAGTTTTTAAGGATTTAGGGTGGGAGAGTTTATCAGAGACTTCGACTGCTTCTTTGTTTCTTTGTTGTGCTTATCTGGGAGGGAGAGTTGTGTCTCTGTTCCCATAACTCTTTCTGCAGATGCAGGCATACCCCACTTTTAGCTTCCTATCTTTTAGCTTCCCTGACAGTGCACCCAAAGGGAAAGGAATGTGCTTATTAAGGCCCACTGTTTAACTGGGGCCCATTGTGTGAGGATGAAGTTGGGCAGTTACCCAAGAGACTTTGCCCCCTCCTCCCTCTGTGCCGGAGCTGTCTTATCTGTGTTTTACTGTCTGCTCTTTCTGGCTGCTGGTAGTTAAAAGAGAAGTGATTTCCTTGAAATGCATGAGGCTACAAAGGGAGCTGGAACCTAAATTAGTGATGTGTGTCTGAGGTGTGCTCCTACTCTGTCAGGTTTGCTTCCTGTCCTTGCCAGTTATTAGCTAAGAAACATGGAAAAAATTGCCTAGCTTTTCCAAACTCCATCTTTAAAGTGAGAATAGTGACTTTCAGGTTTATTATAATGATTGAAAGAGATAATACATATATTAAATGCCTAGCATATATTAAACCTCATTAAATAGCAGCTACTTTCATTGTTTTCCACACTTAAACATTATAAACAAATATTATACAAGATTTAATATTGGTAACTAGCTGTCTGAGATCATTAATATTGCCCTTAGGATACTGTCAAATCATCTGTTGAAATTTACCTGATATCCTAACTGCTATGCTTACTCACTTTTCCCTCCCTCCCTCCCCACTTCCCACCTCCCTTCCCCTCCCTCCCTCTGTCATCCCCTTCCTTCCTTCTTTCCTCCTTTCCTTTCTTTCTTTCTTTTTCTTTTTAAGAAATGCCTCTTTATGAAAATATGTCAAAAGGAATTCAAATTTATTGTGAAAAAATACGCATCAGTACAGAAATATAGAGAGGAAAATGGCAACTCATCCTCCTCCCCACACCACCAGCTCCAGTCTCATGCCTCTGGACCGAGGTAGCCAATCCTAAAAGTTTGATATGGATCATCTCAGATGCTTATCTATGTTTGTGTGTGTGCTCTGTGCATTGATTTTTTAGTTAATGTATCATGTTGGAGAATGTCCACCTTTTTACTTTATATTTATGCAATAACTTAGCAGAGCACAACCTTTTAGGGTCTCATTTTCTTGTCCTCAGCATGCAGGACAATTGTCTTCTGGCTGTAAGTAAGCATGTAAGTCATTCTGATCAAATCATCTCCATCCTTTTGTTTTTCCAATGGATGCTGAGAATACATTACCGTCTTCAAATGTAATGTCAATTCATATTTTAATTTTCTTTGTAGCAGTTCTTGCTTTTAGTATTGTGTTTTTGCAGGACGTAAAAATTAATAAAAATTTTATTTTTGTTAGAATATAACTTTTATCCATAGAAAATGTTCATTTTTAATTTTTCCTCTTTGAAATTATTGCATCCCTTAGTAATGCTGGCATGTCTGCTTTTTTGTTTTTGTATTTTTTGAAATAAAACTTTGTTGATTTTGTCATTTTCAATGCTTTTATGTCACTTAGTTTCAAGGGTATCTTTTATAAGCAGCTTATATCCAGATGTTTTTAAACTAATCTAACAGCCTCTATCAAATGGAAATTCAGTACATTCATATATACTGTGATGATTCCAATGTATTTCTTGCTCTTACCCCCTTTTAATTTTATTTTCTATTTTTATGCTTTATTTCTTTTCACATGTTTCCTTGCTTGCTACTAAGTTTTATCCATTTCTTAAATTTCCTCAACACATTTGTGGATTATACATTTTACTTCTATTTTTGGAGCAGTTATCTTAACATTTTATATTTAATTTTGAATTACCTGAGAAATATAATTGTACATTCTCCTTATTTGAAGAAATAAATCATTGAGGCAAAAGCCCTTTTGATCATCTCTTTCAATGTCAGTCCTTTCTGTCTATCCCACAATCCAATAGAAAAATTCTTATCAGTTTATTGTGGTTGTTTCCTGACATTTTGGACATATACTGACGTATGTTTACTTTGCTTTATATTGGTCTTCCATAAGTAGCATCACCAAGTTCTGCTATTTTTGAAATTGTTTTACTCAACAAATGTTTTGAACATCTTCCCTTGTTAATTAACATAGGTGGACCTATTCTTATTGACTGGTAAATAGTAATCCATCGTATGATTAAATGCCAATTTTTATTTGCATTCATGTTAGTGAATATTTAACTTCTTCATACTTTTTCACTATTGCCAACAATTTGCAATGAACTCCCTAGTACTGCCTCCGTGTATACTACTATAGGCTATTTCTATTTTTAATGTTATTGGATACTGCCAAATTGATCTCCAGATTTTATGAAAGATTATTTTTCTCCACACTCTTGCCAGCACTTAATATTGTTAGCTTTTGAAACTTTCACTAATTTTCTGGATAAAAAACGTTATTTTATATAATTTGCATTTACATGATTATATCTTTTCAAATGTTGGATATTTCACTTGGATTTCATCTTTCATGAGCTGTTTGAGAATATAGTTTAAAACTATTTTCAGTTTTTTTGCTTTTCTGTTTATTCTTAGAAATTACTCATATATTCTGGATTCTAATTTTGTATCTGTTCAATCTGTTGCAAATATTTTTCTCTCAATGATCTCACCTTCTTTATTTATGCTGCCTTTATGCTAAGAAGTTCTTGGGTTTTTTTCTTTAATTCTATGTGGTTGTTGCAACTTTTGTCACCCATTCTAGTCACTTCCTAGATTCCCAATGCTACTGTGGTTTGTATGTGTGTGTGGGCACGTGGATGAATGTAAGCAATCATTTCAATTAGCTGTGGAGACGGTATCTGCAGGTAACTGCAGCTTTCCATATTGAAGGTTTACTGCCATTAGCTGAGACTTTGCCAGGTGCCTGTGAGAAGATGCTAA